TCTCTCATCTCTCTCATCTCTCTCATCTCTCTCATCTCTCTCATCTCTCTCATCTCTTTCTCATCTCTCTCATCTCTCTCTCCTCTCTCTCTCTCTCTCCTCTCTGTCTCTCGTCTTTCCGTCTCTCTTCTCTCTCTTCTCTCGCAGGAGAATCCGGGCAAAGAGCCACATATAAAGGACTCTTCACCCCTGCCTCCAAAAAGAGCGCCGTGTTTTTTCCTACCTCGCTGCCCTCCACTTTCCCATTCTGGAGCGCTAGCTTTCGCCCCCCCCCCCTTGGCCTCAAGTTTCTCAGCTGGAGATGGTCCCCCACGAAAAATCAGGGCTGTAAATTGATTACAGTTTGCACTGGGGGAAGTTACAGATTTGGTCAAAGCTATCCCTTTGCCCCAGAATCCTCACAAGGACCCACCAACTCAACACTCTTTGTTCCAATCGTTCTGGGAGTTGAACTGGTTTATGTTTAAAACATATGCTGCTTTATGGTTCTGCAAATATGCCGGAAAGAGAATCACTTACCAAATGCAAGATGTTTGTAACTTGATGGCACACGTTTGGAGAACATGTCCTTCCATGCAGGTGCCATTGCTCCACTTCCACGAGCGCTACCAGGACAGCACCAAAAACCCCGCGTCCTCCGCGCGGAGGACACGCGCGCGCGCGCGCCTTCGCCGGGCGGGCGAGGACACGGCGCGGTTGACCTGGTCCTTCCGGTACCATGACCACTTCCATGGGCCCGACGTGTTAAGCTCCTTGGGACTGCCGGGCGAGACGAAGCGAAACAAGCGTTCTGGCCCAAAAACGAGTACGTGAACAGGGATAGGGGGGCCAGGAGGATCTGAGACGTGGTTTATATAATAATCAATTACTTTTTGGCATTCTAAACAAACTGTTTCAATTACTTTTTGCATTGTTTTCACTGTTTCTTTGGCATTCTGATCCGGTTTTGGTGTTGGGAGAGAGGCTCAATCTGTCTTTCGGCACCGAGTCTCTCTCCTTCCCTTCGTGGCTTCGATCGGCTGAAGCCAGTTGCCAATGGGCCTTTGTTGCTCGCTCGCTGAACGGCATGTACCTTGGTGAAGGGCTCACTACAGCTGTTTTACATTTAGGCTGAGTACTGCTACCTCCCTGGAGATATGATCGAATTTTTCGCTCGGCCGGCAGCCGCAATCAAAGAAAACCGCCGTGGGTTGTGATGCGGCACTTGGTTGCTTCCCAAGTCATATACCCTGGGGCTCCAGTCGTGCCTCCTCAGATGGTATGGACCCTCCTGACAGCCCCAGTCCCACCTTAGACGGTACGACGAAACGAGCTGTCGGGATATAGAGTCCATGCGGACCATGGCATTGGGGGACCGGTTCGATGAACAGAACAGACGCCCCCCCAGACATGGTCAAGCTACAAGATGCTAGAAGGGTGGTGGTCTGGGGTTTGCGGCTTCTTGACGCACTCCAGCTTCAGTGAGTTCAAGCCCAGGCGTTCCTCACAAGATCTTCCAATTCTGGAGGAACGCCAGCAGATTTGAAGGGAGCTAACATAGCCCCCAAGCGTTATATCAGGACATCTTCCAATTCCGTTCATTCTTGCTTCTGGATCTTCCAATTCCGTTCATTCTTGCTTCTGGATTGTTGAGATGTGGTATACGTGTGTACACTCACCTGTGGGTGAGTGTGTCAGTGCAATTTTCGCACGAACCCCCCCAGAGTGGTCCCCAGAGTTTCTGCGCCAAGCCTTCCTGTGCACGAGCTCAAGGCCCCTTTCGCGTGGGAGCCACTCGCGTGGAGGACCTCTCAAGTTTGAGCAGCGGGACGGCGGGGGCAGGATGTGGGTTGAAGAAGCTGGGCTTAGCAGCTTAACCAAGCTGCTGAAAGGGAAATCACAACTTCGGCATCTAAAAGATGCTGAAAGATGGCTAGATCAGCCGTGCAGGTGGTTTCTAGGCCGAACAACAAATGGAAACTTAGTGGGTCCGATTGGCAAGCCGCATCAAGCCGCCATGCTTGGAGATGAACATCTCAGCATGAATTCAATGGTTTCAACATGACTGAGGGTGTAGGCAGTGTAGGCATGCGGATGGAAAGCAGTTGGTGGACGGGTGTGAAATCAAGCCGGAGGACTTTTGTGATGTGCTATTTCAGAACCGAAGAGAGTGCTGAGCTGGGTGTGGTTCCTGCTAAAGTCACTGCCTGCCAGCTAACCTGTCAGAAACCTTGTTACAGTTTTAAAGTCCGGTGTCTTTATGTTGAACCTCGTGTCGCAAAAATACTGTAGAAAAAGCTCTAGTGGGTTGCCAGGCCCTGTTGAAGCCAAAGCTGCTTGGTGGATCATGAAATTTGATGAAACTGCATGTCCTAGGCATGTTCTTTCTTTGGTGCACCAAGATCATCCGTGTCACATTTTCTGCTCAAGCACAATATCACAAGACCAATCAAGACCCATCGGTCGTGTGCTTTGTTCTTCGGGAGAGCCAGCGCAGGAGGCGCACAACTCCAAGTTTCTCCATCCACACCTCGCCTTTTTCCCGGCCAAGAGTGCTACACCGAGGCTGAGGCGCAGAGAAGAGTAGAGGCAAGCCTCAATTAATTACGCAGACTACCAGTGATCCTTCACCAATCTTCACCTTTTTCTAGAATTCTCAAGAAGCCAATAATTAATTCAATTAGCAGCTTGCTTCTTGCAGACTTCATCAATCAACCACTCGTCTTGTGCAGACTTATATAATCCAAAGGGGGCACCTCACGCCATTGGACTGGCTCACGCCACCTTTCGTCCATAGGCATTGGATGCTCGAGGAGCACTTCTGCGGATGTTTTGTGGAGGGCAGTGGTGCTGGCCAGACTTTCGCTTGCTGTGTTCTTGTGGAGGTGCTGAAGGGGAATAAAATTCCTGAAAGGCCAGCAGAGGCCCAGAATGACTACATGCGAACCAAAGAAAAGGTCTTCCTCAGTGAAGGTCGACTGTCAGTGAGTTTACCAAGAATGAAACGAAGCTCCCAAAGGATTGCAGCACATGCAGGAGTCCTAAAGGATGTTGATAAATCTCAGCTCATTTCTCAGCTCATTTCAGGTTCCACAGACTGAAGAAGCGCTCGCCTCTGATGTGTTTCCCTTGGCCGGTTTCACCTGGGCCACTGATTGGATCTTTTTCCGGGCCTTGCGTCCTGCGTCATGGGTCGTCGCCGACCCCAGGACGTCTTCACGCAGTGGACGGGCCCGGACGATCGACGGCCCTTGCTGCGGCAGCTCGGAGTCAAAGAGCGGGGGCTGGAGATGTGGGTGGTTGATTGGGTGGTTGTTGCTTGTATGGGTGGGTGGGTGGGTTGGTTGGTTGGTTGGTGGGTGGGTGGGTGGGTGGGCGGGTTGGTTGGTTGGTTGGTTGGTTGCTGATGGTTATATGGTTGCTTGCTGTTCGTAAGGCCAACGGTTGGCTGCCTTGTTTTTGCTGGGCTCTTAGGCATGCCTTGGAATTCGCCGGACATGGATGGACCTCGGGTGAGGGGCTGTAGGGCGGACATCCCGGTGAAGAAGGCCACAAGTGCAGAATTATACCAACGGATTATAGTGGGTTGAGAGTAGATGGCACAATCCCCAAGTTAGGTGGTTGATATGGACCCTTTTTTACAAGACATCTTGAGGTGCCAGTGCCATCTACTCTTAATCCACTGTACTGTCTTAAGTATCGCTACACATCTTCCAGGACCTTCAGCGCGACCATTGGAGATCCCGGGGCGAGGTCACGAACAGGCTTGCTCCAAAGAGGTCACGAACGGCTCAGGTCCTGCTTAAGGATGCCTTGAACGGTCTTGATGCTGTTTTAGATGCGTTGGGCAACCAAAGTCAGCATCCAATGGTCCAATCTCCTGTCTCGGTTTCCACTTTCACTTGCGGATGCGGCGATGATGTCACCGTTCGCCAGTCACCTTGAGTACCATCGGTCACCTACCAAGCCTTGTACCAAGGCATGCACTGTGCCCCCTGTTCTCCACTGCTTTGAGAGACCTACCCGACCCAGTTGCAGGTTCTTGACCCGAGCCGCAGCCTTCCTCTTTGCTGCCACATGAGCGGGAAAGAGAAAATGGCCGGACTTGTTTGTGAGTGTGCTGCCGGACTTGAGTTTGAGTCAGCGCCAGGCTCTCACGGTTTCTGGACAACCATTGCGAGGAACTAACTGCTGGATCGTGCCGCACTTGTCCACTCACCATCCCACTGGAGAATTGAACGGAGTCTTCTTTTTGGGAGGCGAAGTGGCTGCGCCGTGCAAGACATGTTTAAGAAGCCGGACGGAGAAAGACAGCACTTCAGCCATCTTGCCAATAGCCTCCCTTTGGGCTCTCAGCAGATTTCTCCGACCGTGTGGACACACCCGTCCGGCCGGTGCGGCTGGGTCGGGAGGCGGAGCCACCGGTCATGTGGAATGAGCCTCAGCTGCCACGAGCGAGGCCCAGCAACCGCGGCACGTGAAACAGCGTCGGAGGTCGGCGGTCGGCATGATTGACTGTAAGAAGGAGTTAGTTGGTTTGTAATTATATGTCACCTAGCCTGGGACCTCAGCAAGCAGATGCCAAGCTGATCAAAGAAGCTTGCATTCATGCATGATATGAGCGGCCTCGTTTTCTGAAAGACAGACGTGTCGTCCTTCTATAGACTTTCTAGGAGATTGGGACCACTCTGCAACGTGGCTTCCATCACAGCAGATACCCTCTCTCCAACATGGACGTGGAAAGCATCCACCCCGGACGTCACCCCTCTGTCAGTCAGGGAGCGCACAAATTCTGCACTGTCCTGCAGGCATCGCGCCAAACTCGTCAATCACGCGCCGAGCCTCCTTCGCCCAAGAATCTTGTACTGCTGGAAATTGGTGAGTTGCTCCTTTTTTTTTGACTCTCACCTGGGTAAAGGGTTGTGGACAGCCGCCCCAAGCTGCCTTTATTGCCCTCAGGACTGGCGAAGCGCATTGCTTTCCGTGGAGCAGCTGTTCGGTCTGGAGCAGTGTTTGGTGCCATGCACGGCCCTGATGAATTCCTGTGCCTTGGACCATGTTGGGCCCATCCCATGTCCGCTATATAGATGCAGTTTATTGTGATGGTCGTTTTAGCTTTCTGATCCCGGCTGCCCATTCCTCCGTGATGGACGCCCATCTGATTGAGGGCGCAAAAGGAACCATCACTAAGGCCTAAAGGCCTCGCAGTGGGCACACACCTTGGAACTCTTCGGGCTTTTGGCCAAGCGCCGTGTCGCCTGCGACACGGTGTCTTTGAAACCTGGATGATGTGCGACACGGTAGAACACCGTGCAGTGGGGTGGGTGGGGTGATTTGCTCACATTGGGGACCCTATTTGCATTGGAAGTTATGGTGGTCACATAGCTTGCGGTCGATGACCATTTTCAGCGGACGCCTCAAGGGTGCCAATTGGGCTTCTCGCTGTTGTTGCTTCCGCGATGCTCCCCTCACATATCCCAGGAATGTGGCGGTGAAGGCGTTGGCTGAGGGCCGACATTGGGAGAGAGCCTTTGCTGCCGTGGCCATTGCGAACAAGGCCAAGCTACGGGCTGATGCCATCAGCTACAGTGTTCCTGTGAGGGGCAAACTTGATCTACACTCCCTGAAAAAATCACGGAAGTGGACAAAGACCGTAATGACCTCTTTGATGATGGTTTTCCTCTTCCATTATTATTTCAGGGAGTGTAAAAGTAAAAGCAGTTCTTTGTTATTTTGTTCAAACTGGTTCTGAGCAGGGATTTGGGGAAGCACCCTCCAACGGAGACTTCTGAATGGATTCCTATCATACCATCATTCCCTACAAGTCGCACCAGCCGGTTGTGTGGTAGCGGTAGATCAGCTTGGAATTCACTTCGATCGAAGATCCCCCATCGATCCCTGTCACCCTGACGGCCATTCGATTCTCTCCGGGAAATGGCTTGAAGGCAAAGCGCCGACCCACCCCATGCAAACAGCAGCGAGGGGCCGATGTTGAGTGTTACGCCCGGGAAAATTGGAACCTGAAAGTTGACTTTTGGAAGACTCTTTCCCTCTACAACAACCCAGTGGTTTTCAGGTTCCATGTTAATTTTCCTGGGTGTACAAAGGTTTAATCACTGTAAACCAGCATCCCGGTTAACCGAGATGTCCCGTTTGCCGGCTGACCACCGTTGCGAGCGCCGACCTCACTGAGGCCATCCTTAGCTCGAGCAACCTCACGTGGCTCAACGCTTTGCGGCTCCTGGACTGCATGGCCCACTCTGCGGTGCAGAAGGATCAAGTGTTGCAGGCCGCGGTGGTGTCCTGGTGCGGCAAGGCAGCGCGTGGCCTGGTCATAAAGCTGCCTTGATCGTGCCGTGCTACCTTCATCATGTTGTCAGGGATGTTGGCAGGACCAGGAGGAAGAAGGATGAGTTTGGTTGTGTTTGAGTTTTGTCGTTTGTTGGATCTCCAGTCAATTGGCCTGGCCAGAAACAGCTGCTGATTCTTCCAATGAATTTGATTGATTCAGACCTGTCATCTATAGGGCTACCTTTCAGGAGAATCATGGCTAGGGATACGGAAAGCCACAGGTTCGTTCATTATTAAACGCGAGGTTGGCAAGAGGCTGCCGAGCTCTTGAAAGACGCAGGCTTGGAGACCAGCTTGCTTTGCAGCAATGCGGCTTTGCAAGCCGCTTGGCCACATTTGACATATGAGGTGATGCTTTCTCGGTGCGTTTGCTGTTCATGCCCTTGTGCCAATCCAAGAAAAGGGCAGTGGCCAAGATGGCCGGCTAAGGGCAATTATTCATTCGATAGCTGCGCATCTCTGGGATGATGCCGAGTAGCCCTCTGAATATCTCTGACTCTAAATACACTTCTCTATCGGCAAGCATATATATATATATGCATCGCATATTTCCAGAGCTGTTGGTGGGGAACTGGGCGCCCAGTTCATTGACATCCCAGTTCTCCAACTGGGAAGTGCTTCTGATTTGGCAGCCTTCGGTCACAAGGCTACCCTGCAAGTTCCCAGATACGTATATAAGTGGAACCTGGAAAAAAAACATGATGCTGTCCTCTTGCAAGATCCAGATAACGAGATATGCCGTGCAGAAATTTCAGATGCAAGTTGTGCATTGAATATCTTCGATATGACTCGATATGAGACATTCAGAGGATAGACAAAGAAAGAATCAACTGCATTTTTCAAGGCACATCCTTAGGTGGGAGATAAAGTAGTGTTTTCTCTTTGTGTGTGTGTGTGTCCACCCCTGGACAAAGGGTTTTCCACCGCCACTCTTTT